AATATCTCGTGAAAATCATCTGGATTTCGGGAAACTTCAGTAGGTGTTCGGTTCATAGGACCCTCCAGAATGATTTCAAAGTACAGTATAAACTCGATAATCCGGACCTCGCTAATCCGGATTATTCGGTAATCCGGACTGCATTTCACAATTCATTGCGTATCCTATAATCCGGATTGTTTGCAACTTGATAATCCGGATTGTGCTTTTTTATTGAAGTCGTAGCAAATGAAACACTTGTTTCAGCATGTGGGAATTATAAAACCGTTTTTCTGCCACTAAACACGGCAAGCCTTGTACAACCAATGGATCATAATCCAATAAGAGTGACAAAAATGTACTATAAAAACGAAGATTACACGCAATTTTTGAAGAATTTCAATATTAAAATGTGCTGCATTTTGCTAAAAAAAACTCTTGGGGGAAAGTGAGTGAGAGGTTAGTAAGATCCAGCTGGAAAATCTGTTCAAGGAAGAATGGGTTCTGAAGATAATTTGCCGTTGTCTGTGCTGCAGGAAAGACCTAATTCTGATGAAAATATTGAGGAGACCAATACGACTTTTATATCACAACTAATTCAAAACTCATTTCAAATAAACATTAACAACGAAGAAGTTGACGCATTGATTAACGATAATAACTCGACAGTGTCGGATATTCAAATTTCCTCAGAGAATGAAGAGGCTGATACTATAATTGAAACTCAACCCGTGAAAGCAAAAAATGCTGTTCAAAGTTTAGAAACGTCAATAAAATGGCCTGAAGAAAATAATGTCGGCATAGAAAAAGTTTTTGTTCTTCATGAATTTCGGGAACAGGCATTAGAAAAATGTTTATCTAATTCGCGGCAAACAACTCTACTTAATTACTATTCCAAAAAAAAAAAATAATGCCGATTTATGTTAACTTTGAAATGTATATTTAATTTGCCTGTACTTATTATAGTTTCGAAATTAAGTTATTTTTTATTAAAAACCAAAAACAATTAAAAATAATACAAATTTAATACGTATTTATACGCAATCAATTATCCGGATTAACGAGTTTTTACTGTATATTTTCAAGGTCAATAGAAAACCTTTAAAGTAATCCTGGTCTCAATTTAGAAATTTAAATTCGAAAAGTATTTAAAATTGTCGCTACTTCCAATTAACGGTCAAACTAAATTATGTTATCTATAAAATTCTACAAACACTAGGCAACACTGTTCTGGGTACTAAAATGCAAGCCGAACAGATATTGCAATCGAACGATAATTGCTTCACGAACAAGGAAATGTACAAAACACAGAGAGCAAACATATGAGTGCGCGCATTGAGAGTCATACATTCCCTCTCGCCCCTACCCCACCAACAAAACATGTTGGCAGTGCTGCCAGTTAAATTTCATGAAAAATCGTCAATTTTTCAGAAAAAAATCGGCATTTGTATTTTTAAAAATCGGCAGAAAATCGGCAGCATATAATTTATAAATAAATTCATATTTTTTTGGTTTATAACAGGTCAATATTGTTTATTACATTAAAAAAAAGATAAAAAATTCAATTCTGTATAAAAAATAAAAGATTCATTTTTCTACAAAAAATGTAGATTTTTCTAAAATATAGTAATTATTATGTACACTAGTAAGTTCTTTCAGATTTACGTATAACACAGTGTGGTATTAAGGTCATAAAAATAACTTACAAACTAGTACATATTTTTATTACACATTTTTAGTAATTCATTATCAATTTTGATATTAAAACAATTTGAATTATTTAGTTTGAGGTAATCTTTAGAATAAAGAATCCCTTCCAATGAATCATTCTCAAGTGAGCTTCTAATTTTAGTTTTGTTAAGGTTTACCTGACTAAAAATTCGTTCCACATTTGCTGTGGAGTGTGGAAGAACCATAATTCTTTGTACAAATTTAGACAAAACTGGAAAAGCTAAATTGGAGTCCCCACGTTTAATTTCGGAAATTTTTTTCCAAAAACTTTTTAAATTATATTCTGCATTTCCAAAAATTTCTTCAAAATTCAGAAAGTTTAACTCCCTTAACTCGGAGTCTAAAGATTGCCTCTCAGATTCAAAAATAAAATCGGGGAATTCTTTTAAAATATCTAGAAAAGAATTATTGCCCTTCTTCACTACTCTTCCAGGATCAATAATTTTTAAGCATTTAAATGAATTTAAATTAAAATCAAAACGTTTTAATATTTGGTTTGCAAGTTCTATATAAAAATTAATGCAAGTGCTAACTATTTTGTCTATGTCATTTTTGGGAAGTTTTGTTTCTGAAACAATATATTTTGCATATAAACCCAAATATACTTCATCATATTCTAAAAAATTGTTCGTGTCCATGAAGTCGGTTAAATGAATATCATCTCTTATGACATCAGATTTTATGAAATTACTTAAAACGCATCTAAAAAGTAACTCCATTTCATTATGCAAATTATGAATTTCAGTTGATTATTTTTGAAATAATTTGTTAGTGTTATTAATAATGTTGAGAATATACTTCAAAAAAGACAAGTATATTTTATTTGTTTCGTTTAGATTTTCTAAAACGACTTTGGCTGTATCTATTTGATCAACATTGGCAGCAAAGGAGAAATATATTTTTAGTGGTTCATACATATCAAGTATTCTTACAACGACTGATTCGAGTGATAGCCATCTTGTTTGGCTAGGATGTAACATTTTTCTTGGATTTAGATCCAGCAATTGTTGTATGTCTTCAAATTGGCCAAAGCGTTTTGGAATATACCCAATGTAATTGTAAATGTTTCGTGCCAATGTTTCTATTTCGGATGGCAATTGAAGACAAGCATAGGAAGAACATAATGCTAATGAGTGGCAAACACATTTCATTATGAACAAATTAGGAATCTCTTTTTTAAAAAGTTGAGCAACAGAATTGTACTTTCCCGTCATTACGGCGGCACCATCAGCAGCAAAGCCAATCATGTTACATTTATAATTTATATTATTTTTTGTAAAATGATCCAAAATTAATGCATGTAAACTTTCTGCGTTACATTCTGAATGAACTTTTAGCAAGCCAAAGAAAAAATCATGAATTTCAAAATGTAAACAAACGCGAACGATCTATACATAAATCTATACATAAATAAAATTTGTTGGTTTCTAAAAGTTTACAAACATTTAAAAAATGTCGTTTACCCACAACATTATTTATAATGGCAGTTGCCTTTGTTCTCCCCAATGCCATATTTTGTGCACATTCTTCAGAAAATGAATTTTGACAAACCTTCGTCATATGGTCAGCAACAGAAAAGGCAAGGTTATTAAATGATTCTGAAATTTTCTTTTGCATCAATATAGCATTTGCAGCAGTTAAATGTTTTTTGTTTTTGAATGGGCCAGTAAGTCGCATTTTCCCGAACTAGCTTTCAACTGCACGTTGCACAATTTACAAAAGAAAAAATTGTTCCTCATTTCTGCCCAACACTCCGTATCAGAGTCAATCCATTGTGATTTCTGCTTACGTCTTGTGTGTTGTTCCTGCTGGACACTTGATGCACAACTATTTTCCTCGTCTGTGTTGTTTTCTATGAAAAATCAACAAATCAACACATGTATCTTAGACACAATTTAAGTAAATACTTTTTCGTTTTGTCAGGTATTTATCCATGTTTATAATTAAATAAATTAACTTGATAGAATACACCACCAATTTGATACGTGTGCGCACTTTTTATTCGTTTAATTTAAATTTTGCCTTATTCGATGTAAAATGTAAACAAGACAGAGTACAATGCTGACAAAAAATGCAGATATCTAAGCCATTGAAAACGGCTGCGGCGAGTCGCCGATAGTTATAATGATTTAAAGCTGCCAATTTTATATGTTTGTATGGTAACGCCATATTAAATTAAAAAGTTAAGCGGTGTACACACTATCATTTTTGACTGTCAACATGTGAGGCCACACTATCAAACAAGCAAAATTTGGGCAAGAGTGTCATTCAAAAATGCTAGTGTGTACACCGCATTAGACAATTTGTGTCGATTGTTGAAATATCGGCATTTCTGAGGCAAAAATCGGAAAATCGGCATTTTCCATTTTTAGAGTGAAAAATCGTCAAAATGCCGATAAATCGGCAAATATGGCAGCCCTGATTGAGAGTCATACATTCCCTCTCACCCCTACCCAACAAACAGCATGTTGTGGATATGATATGACGACGACAGTACTCAACGAAATTCTCCAGTCAGTGTGCGGTTGGATGTCAACTGAAATGGTTGCATTTGTCGAGGGTAACGAGACGACATTCGATTCGCAAAAGAAGCACAGCACAGCGCGATACTAGAAAAAGAAATATAGTGGGGAACGACAAAATCGGTGTGTATTTTATTTAATTCTAATTCGTTTGTGTTGCTGTTGTCGTCGTACAATTAACAACAAAAAAGTATTCATTAAAGTGAAAAACAACAGCAACAAAAAAATCAAAATGTGCAAATGAATTGAAAGAAATTGTGTATTGGTGAATTAGAGTAAATGCCGTGGTTCGAACGTTCTTCGAAAACGCATTAAAGTAAAAACGAAAGAAAGAAGAAAAAAGATTGTCGTCGCTGTCTCTGTCGCTGCCGTGCACGTTATCATCGTTTAACAATACTCGTTGTACACACGCTAGACACTACCTCCACTACATACAACAACAGTACATACGAAGCAAAAAATTAAAATTATACTACCAGACCAACAGCAGCAAGTAGTACTTGTAGTAGGCAGACAGACCGACAAACGGCAAACAGTTCGATCGTCAGACAGTCAATCGGAAATTTTGATTGGCATTATTGCAAAAACAAAAAAAGAATAAATTAATTGATTCGCGAACATTTACAAAAGTCTACACATCGTTCGTCGTGTCTTCAATTACAGCTAAAAAAACAAAAAGAAACAGAAAAAATCATAACCGAACAAGTAGAAGAAACTGAACTGCGATAGCAGCCATCACTACTCGACCGCCCGCCTGCCCTTCCATCTATGGATAATAACAACAGGAGCTGCAGCAACAACAACAACCGCAATAGCAGTGACGACAAATAACGCAACAAAAAGTAAGTGGAAAAAAAGAATCATAATCTGCATACAACCCCCACATGCATACACGCAAACAGACAATCACACATATAGTACATAGTAGTAGTAGCAGAGAAAACGAACGACTTTAAGGTGCTGCTGCTACTGCGACAGCAGTGACAGAGATGTTGACAGCAGCAGCATAGATAACAGTGTTGCTTATTTGGTAGTTTTTATTATTGAAAACGACCTAGGAACATTTTGTTGATAAAAATAATTAAGTGTGGATTTAAAAGTAAAATTAGGTTAGTTAGCGTGGCATATATGAGGAATTAATTAGACGTTTTAAAGAAAAAATAAATCGAGTATTTTTTTAATATTTTTTGAGGGAAATATGAAATTAAGTGTAGATTTTTTTCTAAATATTTTTGAGCAACAATTAAAATATTTTTTTAGAATTTTTTTTGATAAAAAAATTGTTTTTAAAGCACTTTTCTTAAAAATATTATTGAAGAAATTTAAATGCGGAAAGTTGAATTAAAAACGTGGCAAACGTAAATTTTTGAAGCAGATTTTAGATACTATTTGAAGCAGATTTTTTTTAAACTATATTTTTTGAAGCAGCGGGGATTTAAAAAAAAAATATTTTCTGAAGAAGCATGGATTTTTTAACACATTATGTTTTGAAGAAGAAAGAATTTTCAAGATCCGACCAGTGAGCGGAGCAGTATAGGCGGACGATAGCCTACACAACTACCACAAAACTCTATCTTTCTGTCGGAAAAAAACAATCCACACATTAATATTGACTATAAATTAAATTTGAGTACCATTTAGTACCCAATTTCATGATTCGAGCTTTAAAGGTTCACCCAAATCCAAATTTTCTATTTAGTACACATTATATCCATAAATACCCTCCTCAACCATCTAATTAACCTCCTCAACATTCCAACTCCATAGGTACAAATTGTACCAAATTTAGTACACAATAGTACCAATTTCCAAAACTTCCTACATACCCAAATCCTACACCCCCACACTGATACTAAATTCTAGTTGTAGGATTCCAACTCTATCGGTTCACCCACAATTCAAATTGTAATAAATTTAGTACATAGTAGTCCAGATATCCAAATCTTCCTGCATATCCCAATCCTACACCTCCACAGTGTTCATAAATCATAATTTCAGGATTCCAACTCTTTCGTTTCATCCAAAACTCAATTCGTACTAAATTTGGTACATAAAACTACCAATTTCCAAACCCTCCTACATATCCCAATCCTACACCCCCACAGTGATCCTAAATCCAAATTTCAGGATTCCATCTATCGGTGAACCGATAGAAATTCAAATTGTACCAAACTCAGTACACAGTAGTACGAATTTCCAAAACTTCCTACTTACCCCAACCCTTCACCCCACAGTGATCCTAAATACAAGTTTCAGGATTCCAACTCTATCGGTTCACCCACAATTCAAATTGTACCAAATTTAGTACATAGTAGTACTAATTTTGAAAACTTCCTACATATCTCAATCTTACACCTTAAAATTGAACCTGATTCCAAATTTCATGATTCTAGCTCTATTGGTTCGCCTAAAATTCAAATTGTACAAAATTTAGTACCATTTAGCACACATGAATATAAATTGCTTAAACTGAATCATGACCCCAATCCTACACCCCTACAGTGATCCTGACTCCAAATTTCATTGTTTCCGCTCCATCGATTCATTCAAATCCAAATTGTACCAATTATAGTACGATTTAGTACTTTTCGTACACATTAGTAAAAAAATTTCCCATTCCTACACTCCGACGGTAATGTTAATTTCAAATTTCAGGATACCAACTCGATTTGTACCTCCAAATTACATTTGCACGAAATATAGTACCATATGGTACTTGTCGTACACACGAGCATACGCCTTCAAAACCATCTCCTTAAATGGAATCTACTTCTCAACCTTAATTCACTCTCCAAATTTCAAGTTTTTAGCGCTATCGGTTCACATGCTACGAAATCGTACCAAATTTAGTACATTTTACTAGTACTTTTCGGATAGTTACAGTTCGAATTTCCAAAAACTCTTTGGTACATCTATCCTACACCCCATCAACGACCACCAACCCAAATTTCAGAGTTCTAGCTCCACCGGTTCGCCAAATACGAATGGTACCACATTTAGTACTTTTCGTACGGTACTTTTCACATTTAGTACTTTTTAGTACTTTTCGTACCGTTCCAAAAAACCCTCACCCAAAATTTCAAGATGAATCGTTAAATGGGTCAGTCAGTTATTCTTTAATGAATTGGAATGGAGTTTAAGATCAAAGAATTTTAAGATCAGATTATCGGCCTAACAACGGCAACGCTATCAAAAATTCCATAAAAATATATTTTAATGGAAATGTTTCTTTAAATTTATAAAAAAAATCAACTATAATATAAGATTTTTGGGGTCACAAATAATTTTTATTTTGAAATAAATTTAATAACAAGAATGCATTTATCAGTATTTTTTGTGAGTTTATTTTCCACAGAGTACTAATGAAATTATTGTCCCTGATCTACACCAAGATAATATAATTTACTATCTATACATAACATTTAGTAGGTCAAAGTATCAGAATATGTTATTATTGTTTTTTTTTTTTTTTTGTGACAATTTGACTATAAATTATTTTGAAAATTGTTGATAAGAAAATGTCATCTAATGAAAATGTCATCTTTGACTTTCAGTATTTTTATTTTTCAATATAAAGATTTTTTATGCGCCCATCATCTGGCAACTCTCTCTCTCTCTCTCTTGTATATTCTGTATTCTTGCTACTATTATTCCTGCTAATTTACCACATATTCTATTTTCATCGTATATTCGTTGGACTTTTTTAAACATTTACGTAGGACGTTCTGCCGTTTTGAGATCAGCTGAATTTTAGTATACATTGAATACTGACTGCTACTGATATGACAGACGTTGACGTCTCTGTTACAGCGAACAGTGACGCTAACACTTGTCTCAGCTTTTTGGTTGTAACAACATTTTCGCTGTTGCCGCCGTTCGTAGTAGTATTTTTTATAGTAAAACATTTTTGTGAATACTCAACGAACGCATGCACTTTTTACACACTCTCTCTCTCTCTCTTTATCGCATACTCTCATTACGAGTGTGGTAATGAGAAGATGTAGACCAGCATCAGACAAACCACGGCACGTGTGTTATCGGAAATACTCAATATTACTGTCCAAGAAATTATATTGAAGCCCAGAATCGAGAATCGAATTTGCAAGAAGCCGAAAACCAGCGAGAAAAGAATATTCAGTATAAGAGACGAACAGTAGTTGATCCGACAAGTGGCCAATAATCCAAAGCTAAGTGCATCTATACTTGCTGCAATCGCAAATAAGTATCTGAAAAAGAAATGTAACTCCTAAACTTACTTACTTAACTGGCTTGTGACAGAACTTCCGTTCCATAAGCCCTGCTTAAAAAGGGTTCTCAGGCGCGTCGGCCTTTTGTGCAGTTTTTCCAATTTGAAAGACCATGTTCGGCAATGTTGTCTTCCATTTAATCTTTCCATCTAATTCGTGGCCTTCCCCTTCTGCGTGAAACATTAACTGGTTCGCTTTTATATGCCTTTTGAGCCGGGGCATCTTCATCCATTCTCACAGCATGACCTAGCCAACGTAGTCGCTGTATCTCGATACGTTTAACAATGCCGATGTCCGAGAATAGCTGGTACAGCTCATGGTTCATTCGAAGGCGATATTTACCGTCAACGCACATCGGTGAGTTTGGTCTGGCCGGAGGTGGCCTTGTTTCCAAACTGCTTACTTAGACCATAGTAGCATCTGTTGGCCAACACTATGCTTCTCCGAATTTCAAAATCGATATCATTAGTTTTAGGCGAGTAGCATGTGTTGTTTGTTGTACAGAGTGTCATTTCGGTTCACCTTTGCCTCTCGTATGACCTTTTCCAGCAGGACCTTAAAAAGGTCAGGCGACAAACTGTCACCTTCTCTGAATCCTCGTTCGTGTTAAAGGGCTCCATTCCGACTTTAACGGCCGATCTTGTGCCAGTTAAAGTTATCCTGCATAGCCTAATTAATAACACCTCTGGACGGATAGGACTGTCGAATGCGGTTTTATAGTCGAGGAATAGGTGGAATGTGTCGATGTGTTTTTCGTGGGGTTTTCAGGATTTGGCGCAGAGTGAAAATCTGGTCAATGGTGGATTTGACCATTGGCTTCAATCCGTTTATACAGTACACTGGATAGCACTCTATATAAGATGGGGAGGAGACCCCCAAACAATTTGAAGAATTTGGCGTAAACATGTTAGGGTTACCCTGAAAACCCGTTTCATAAACACCAAAAACCGGAAAATCCGATTGGAGTTCAAGAATACGAAACAATGGATTTTGCATTTTGTAGAGTTGGACATTCGAGTTCCTTGAGCGGTTCAATCTTTTTCGATCTGCTCCGCAAAAGGTCGTCCCTTTAGTTCACTCGTTCACTGGTGCACGATAGTTCGGTCTATAATGTCGTTCGTGCTTATTATTCCTCTTTTTTACAACATTTAATTATTACACAGAATATTTCATTCATCCATAAAGGAAATAGACAACTAATGATTCACATATATGAGTTGGTGAGCGAACAAAATAAACTAGCTGAACGAGAGCAAGAGGTAAAGACTAGAGCAAAAGGAACTAGGTAACCGAAAGATCCGGACCTAAAATAAAATATTCAGACAGTCGCAGCTCGTCTGTACTCTAAAAAATGAGATATGGTGCAACCGGCAGTTCTTGTTAAGTGTTTGTAAGCCACTGATTTAATTTTAAAATATTTTTCCTTAGGTCCTACTTAAACTAATCTAGCTTAGCCTAATCTCAAACACAAAATATTTATCAATAAACTATTTGTTCCAATAATAGAATGTGATCTGTGGTGAAATTTCCCATCGTGTGCGTCATAAAATCTCAACGCCAACAACAACAGTCTTATAAACGTTACATGTGGCACT